ATCGAGAACGGTACAACGAATCGTCTGCTTTCTCTAGTAATTTGATGTCAAAGCTTCCGCACGGGACGGGGGGGGGGGGGGACTAAATTCAAACAAGGATTAAGAGTCAAGAACGGTACAACGAATCGTCTTCTTTCTCTAGTAATTTAATGAAATGTCAAAGCTTCCACGCTTCGCGCTGGAGGGGAGTGGGGGACTGAATTTAGATAAGCATTAATAGTCGAGAACGGTACACAAATCGTCTTCTTTCTCAAATAATTTCCGAAATGTCATATTTCCGCCTTGGATGGGGGGGGGGGGGGACTGAATTTAGATAAGCATTAATAGTCGAGAAATCGTCTTCTTTCTCTAGTAATTTAATGATTATGTCAAAGCTTCCGCACGGGACGAGAGGGGGGGGGGGGGGACTGAATTTAGATAAGCATTAATAGTCGAGAAATCGTCTTCTTTCTCTAATATTGAAGGAAATGTCATATCTTCCGCGCGGGACGGGGGGGGGGGGCGGGGTGGACTGAATTCAGACAAGGATTAAGAGTCAAGATCGGTACAACGAATCGTCTTCTTTCTCTAATAATTTCATGAAATGTCAAAGCTTCCGCACGGGACGGGGGGGGGGGGGGGTGGGGCTGAATTGATACAAGGATTAATAATCGAGAACGGTATACAACGCCAATCGTCTTCTTTCTCTAGTAATTTAATGAAACGTCAAAGCTTCGCGCAGGAGGAGGGGGGGGGCTGAATTCAGACAAGGATTAAGAGTCAAGAACGGTACTACGAATCGTCTTCTTTCTCTAAAAATTTCATGAAACCGCAAAGCTTCCGCACGGGACGGGGGGGGGGGGGGGGGGCTGAATTCAGACAAGGATTAAGAGTCAAGAACTGTACTACGAATCGTCTTCCTTCTTTAAAAATGTAATGAAATGTCAAAGCTTTCGCACGGGACGGGGGGGGGGGGGGGACTGAATTCAGACAAGGATTAAGAGTCAAGAACGGTACAACGAATCGAGTTCTTTCTCTAATAATTTAATGATATAAAGCTTCCACGCTTCGCACTGGAGGGGGGGAAACTGAAATCAGACAAGGATTAATAATCGAGAACGGTACAACGAATCGTCTTCTTTCTCTAGTAATTTAATGAAATGTCAAAGCTCCCACGCTGCGGCTGGAGGGGAGGAGGGGGGGGGGGTGGACATTAATAGTCGAGAACGGTACAACGAATCGTTTTCTTTGTGTAATAATTTAATGAATATTTATTGTCACTAAACAGAGATCCATATTTGACTATTCATTAAAATACTGCAGAAAAGGGATTTAATTCTAAAATCACCACTGAGATAATTCGCTATCATGAGTCATGACTGGTATCGTGATCTTAGCATTGCGAACTTAAGACTCCTCAATCATATCGATCGTAACAATTTTTAATAAAATTGCTGAATTTTATAATCAAAATTTTGTATCATTGTTTCAATTTTCGAAAAAAATAACCGACATGACATGACAAGTAGGGCCTAATTCAAACAGGCACATCACAACCACACAAACACACAAACAAGCAACAAAATAGGCCTACACCGCGAATAGATCGAGGAGCTCAAAATGACTGTCTAAATAATAGGAACACTAGACAAGATTAGTTTCGCATTATTACGATTAGAATTTTATAAAAAGAATCATGGGTATTAAATAAATAACTTGATACTTTATCGTCTTTATTAACAATTGATTTTCACATCTATCCCGATTTTGACTGTCGTAGACTTAATTTCCCCATCAATCTATTCTCTCGCTCTTTCCCTCCCTCCATCTTCCAAGTGTACCCCTTCCTCTCCCTCTCTCTTGTCTCCATCTTTTCTCATGTTTGTTTATCAACACCCAAGGAATTGCGCGCAGGGCCTTTGTTCAAACAAAGTTCAAGGGTTCAAATGGGCGGCATTTTGTCTCCTCGCATTCAAATCTCAAAATAGAACTCCAGTTCAGAATTGCGCAATATACCTCTCAGCCAAACATAAACAAAAGGTTTAGATTTTAATGGGTCAAGATTTACGTGTCGATACGTCTTTTTTACACGAGGTCGTGGACAGAATTGAGGTTAGATTTATCATGGAATGTGTTGATAAAACCCAAGCAATTTATATTTTGCATACTTAGATCTATAGCTTGAAATTAAATTGTTAGCAAACAAACTTCACTATTGTAAAACCCATCGATCTATAGCTTGTAATAAAAACTAATCAGGAATAATCTCAATCACATTGCTCTGCAATTCCAACGCTCTAGCTCGCTCACTCCATTTGGCTTGCGCCTATACCATGCGCGGAGATAGCCAACGTGGCTAGCTAGGCTGAGAGTACGTAGCGGCCGCGCTGTGTCTTCAGCTAGCGCATCCTTTTATGATTGCTGTGCATGTGCGCACTGAAATTCGTCCTCCTGCGTCGCGATGATTTCAAACTAATAATTAAATTTGGAGACTGCAGTCAGGCAAAGTGCGCGTACCAAATTCGTCCTCTTGCGTCGCGACGATTTCAATTTGATAATTAAATTTGGAGACTGCAGTCAGGCAAAGTGCGCGTACCAAATCGGCGCCGATCGTTCCATGCAGGATCCTGCATCGGAACGACAGCAATAATAAATATCTCATGCCTAAGTAGTGACCATGTTTCGTTGCGCTTTATTGGTATGCCTATGTCTGCGTTCGGGCAATACACAGCAATACGCAAGCCAAATATGCAAAGGTGTGACCAAGCCTTTTCTTAAGTCAAAGCAGACCGGGAGCCAAATATCTGAAAAAGCGGCTCCCGGTCCTTAAATTTTGTAGAGAACCGGGAGCCGTTTTCCAGGACCAGGAGCCGTTTCCAAAATTGATGAAATGTGTATTCTTTTAAATTATTTGTTAACCGTTACCTGTTATTTATTCATTACCCATTGTCATTAGTCTATCAGTACACTATAAAGTAAGCCTGTAAGTTGGGGCTTTGATCGGATCGGAAGATCAGAGCGACAGTACCAAAAATTTACCTTTTTTAACGAGGGCTTTTTCTGATTTTCCCTTATAAAAATAGCCCCCCTTAATTTTTTTTGCGGTGGCTTTTTTGGAGCTCATGGGGGCTTTTTTTAAAGGCTGTATTTTTAACAAACTTGATTTTCCCTGCTTAAATTCCAAGCAGGATTTATTCACTTTCTGTTAAACAGGTGGTTTACTGTATGATTTACACATTACTAAAACTAAAACTTCGTAAAATGTGTGTTTTGTTCAACTTGATGGTTTTCATAACAAAATATTATCACTGACACGCAGGCTAGGAATTAATTTTTTTATGTGGGCTACTTTTCCAATTGCCTAAAAAAAACTAAACAAGGGGCAACTTTAAGAAAAGTGGGGGCTACTTTTGAAAAAAAAGGGGGGGGGGGGGTTACTTTCTTAAGGATGCTATTTTCTTATCTTAGCCATATTGTAAGCTGTAACAATAAATTGTGTTTTTCCTTAGCCATCATACTGCTAGTGACAAAATTGGAACGCAATAATGTTATTTAGTCTTTTTGTCCCAAATTTTTATCATGGACAATGCAATCGCATTATAAATTGTAATTCCATTTAAAATTGTGTTATTTATAACTTAAAATCATTAAATGTTAGTGAATAATCTTTCTGTGTCCCACATACCGATTTATTTCTTAAAACGAAACATGCAAAATCATGGCCAGTTTTTTCTTCTTCCCCGTATAGACCCTAGACTCTAATTCTAAAGGCAAAGGCTAAGTCAGTTTCATTTCGTAGACAGAAATCATGCATCAATGACAATGAATGGGTCTGGCATCATATATAAATAATATAATTTAAATAAACAGTTGTAAGAAAATTTCTGGGGTATAGGAACATCATTAATATTTATTTACGGGTTTTTTATAACAAAATTCAATTTCTGTCTATGAAACTAGCTTTATACCGATTATACAGGAAAAAAATCCGGCATTGGATTTTGCATGTTTCGTTATAACACATATATCAGTATGTGGGACAATAGTACAAATATTCACTCACATTTAAATTTCAATGGTTTTCAGTAAAAAAATAACACAATTTTAAACGGAATCACATAATTTTCAATGGTAAAATTTTAGGTCAGAAAAAAGACTAAATAAACATAATTACGTACCAATTTGGTCCCTAACAGTTCAGCACTGACGATTGCAAATACTTATTTGGTTCATTTTAGAGGTGCACGCGCCGCTGAGCTGAGCTTGTTCTGTGTATTGAATGTGTGCGAACTGCGTATTCATAACGTGCACGAGTACGAAACTACTATGTACTCCGTATTTCCATCAGAGGCCGGGCAGCTTGGCGGCCGGGAGCTTTAATAGGGGGATACCGCACGCGGTATAGATCTACATGTAGCTACAGTAGGTAAGACCACCGATTCGCTGCTATCACAAAACTTTTTAAATGTTGATGGAAGTTTCTAGTTTTTAAGTTTCTAGTTTGAACGGAGATTTCACTTAGACTCATCAATATATTCATTTTATTTTATTCATTTTTTTTGCCCTCGTCTTGATTTTTACCGTGGCAATTTCAAAGGTTTAGGGTGCGAATCGCCCATCACCGCCGTGTATTTTTTTTGTGAGTAGGAGATAGCGGTCGCTCGTACTCGTGCTGCAATTGTTTCAGGGCGATTTTAATTAGGATTCTCATTATAAAATGATTTTTTAGGGTTCATTCAGTCCACATTTAACTTGAATTAAGTAAGTTTTTGCCACATTTGTGAACATTTAGTGCTAGACATGTGGAAGTTTCTGAAACCGGAAATGTTAAATCTCCAAGACCGGGCGCCAAAAATTGAAAATGACCGGCGCCCGGTTCTCATTTTCCCCGTCTTACCGGGCGCCAAAGGTCGTTGAGTAAAAATCGCCCGGCGCCAGGTTAATGAAAGGCTTGGGTGTGACTGAGGCATTAAACACTGCCCTGTTTTCAATAGCATCGCATCTTATTATTTTTGGGTTACCTTTTGATTTTCTCTAGTCTCTCCTCCTCCTGTTGAATGTACTCATCTAGTGCACCTAACAGGTTTCCCTCAGTGTAGATGACATTCTCCAGGTCGACAAGGGCAGTAAATACTTCACCTTTGACCTGGCATAAACCTATACTCAGCAGTACCATTAACTTCCACATGATGCTGTTTATCCAAAGTTTTCTCCAGAACAATCTGCAACAATAAGTAATAATCAAACAAATCAATAATGGTTCATTCATATACAAAATGTACCATTATATCATCTCATGAAGAGCATAACAAAGTGGATTATTCATGTTCATACTATATACCTGCATTATTAACATCTTAAAAAGTAAGGCATATTAAGGCCCCAATGCACTACATATAGCTATTTGCGCCCTCTATACAGCCAACAATGCTTAAGCGGTACCCGTCGATCCCCCATGATGCCCTTTTTCTTATGTTAAAGGGACTTGGTAACATTGTTCAGAGGAGAGATAGTGGTGCTAAAGCCCCAGTCCCATATAAAGCCGGACCAGCACGGACGAGCACGGACCACTCCGGACCATCCCGGACCATGGTCTGGGGTGATCCGGGATGGTCCGGGATGTTTTGTTAAAAAAAGTGTGATGCTTTTAAGCTACAGTCCCATATACGTTCCGGACCGTCCCGGACCATCCCGGACCCCATCCGGGGTGATCCGGGATTCGGTCCGTGTTGACACCGTGTTGGCACCGGGGTGGTCCTGGATGGTCCTGGATGGTCCTGGATGGTCCTGGATGGTCCTGGGCGGTCAATAACTCACTCCCGGACTGCCACGGATCAACACGGACCGCCCCGGCGCCACTACGGATGACCCCGGACCCAGCACGGTGGCTACACGGATCACCCCGGATCAAACTATTGTCCCGGACCGTCCCGGACCACCCCGGCAGTTTTTGACCGTCAAAAACATCCGGGGTCGACTCCCGGACCGCCCAGGACCATCCAGGACCATCCAGGACCACCCCGGTGCCAACACGGTGTCAACACGGACCGAATCCCGGATCACCCCGGATGGGGTCCGGGATGGTCCGGGACGGTCCGGGACGTATATGGGACTGTAGCTTTAGGTAGTGACTTCAATGCTTGATGTACAATTAAAGATAATCTGAAAATTAGAGTGAAAACGGACCATTATTAACTAGAAATATCGCAATCTGTATTGCCGCGCAATGCGAATGTAGTGGCAGTGGCAGCGATTTTGTGTCATCTTTATGTTCAAAGGAGGGACAAAGATCCCCTCCCCGAAACAAAAGAATGACGTAGAGATTGTAGAGATTGTCAAGAGTGTCTCAGACTATTATCAAGACTAGGAGCAGCATCACCAAAACAATATGTGTGTAGATTAGAGTAATGCATTTCTGTAGAAAATTTGAAAAAAATCTTTCAAGAAATGTAGCAGTTAGAGCGCACAAAAGACAGCCACCAAATATGACCTTTGACCCTATAACAGACGGAACACAGGTGGCAGCATCGCCAAACACTAAAGCTGTGTAGATTGTACTAAGACACACCTCCATACAACATTTTAAAGAAATCTGTCAGGAAATGTGGCAGTTAGAGCGCATAAAAGACATACATGTATATGACCTTTGACCATATAAAAGACAAAACAATGAGGGCAGCATTGCCCAATAGTGAAGATTGTACCAAGTAGGCCTGAGTCATCACGGGTTTTGCCGAACCCGGGTTTGACTTGAAAATTTCGGCGGGGACCGGGTACCCAAAATTTTCACCACTGCACTGACACTAAAAATCGTGTGCATGCAGCGACTGGAGTTAGATTAAGTTGCTGTTCTAATAATGCGACGGAAAAGACAGTTACTGCTTTCAAAACAATAAAATAATCAATTGAGTTAAATTAAGATGCTTTAAAAAATAAATGGATATCGTTTCAGTTGACGGTAGATGTTTTTATAGCTCAAAATTGAGGCTGCAAGAAAGGAATCATGCTTTGTGCGTGGTACCGAGTGCGTTCAGAAACGGAAGTGGAAATATGACCCACTGAAGACTGAGCAAGTTAAAGATGAAGTTGAGTTCTGGTCATGCGATTGCATTGTGAAAGAAACGGTGTGGAACCGACCAGAAAAGGTTGATCATCTAGCATATAAGAATTTGTGTGTATTGCAAGGTTCTGGAATCATCAAAATGATAAGAAATGTGGTCAAGTCTTGGTAAAGTTACTAACACTGTACACAGAAAGATGTATATGGGACTACATGAACACGTGGCGTAAAAAGCCGGCCCCCCGATTTTTACGATGTTACATGCATATTTAGAATATGAAGGCATTTGAAGAGCCATGCTTTTCAGGGAACATGTCTTATCTGATGTTCTTCCACACTTGCATAATAAGAATGAGTAATGCTCACAAATTATTTTTCACCTCTTCCCAGAACTCAACCTTCTCTTTAAGAAAGTCCCACACACAAGACTAAAATGTTGATCAGACTATTACAATTAAATCGTAATACTACTAGGCATTAATTTAATAAGCAAATCTTAATCGACTACGGGGGTAATGGTGCAAACTATTATCTCCGAGGTGATCTCGGGGCTACTATCATCCCGAGCTGCAAGGCGAAGGATGATGGTAGCCCCGAGATCACCGAGGCGATGATAATTGTATCCATTGCCCGAGTAAAGGAGGCTAATATTTGTTTTATATCCGATTCTGCAGACAGTTTAGCTTCAGCTAGATTTTACAAAGCGCAACATGCATACATGTAATACAGTCGATGCGCGCTCATTTGACATTGACATTGACTTTGACATTTCGCGTAACCTACATGTACTTTGCAATGCGTATTCAATGGGCAAGGGTGGGCAAGTGGGGTAGCAGCAAAAAACTACTTTACAAAAGTACTATCTCAGGTAGATAGTACTTATCTATATTTAATCATGTGAACTCGTTTAGACCAATCAGATTGCAGGATTCTGTATACAAAATTTGAACAAAATCCTTCGAAAAATGTGGCCTATAGAGCACACACAAACCATCCAAAAGATAAACCTATAGAAGACGGAACACTGGGGGCAGCATCACCAAAAGTTAAAGGTGTGTAGATTATAGAAAGATACACCTCCATACAAAGTTTGAAAGATACCTGTTAAGGATTAATGCAGTTAGATCCCAAACCACAGTGTAGAGTGCCACAAGGATATCTATCATGATATGACCTTTGACCCTATAAAAGATGGAACACTAGAGGCAGCATCACCAAAATCTGTAGGCTTGTAGATTATACCAAGATACACCTTCATTCAAAATTTGAATGAAATCCCTTGAGAAATCTGGCCTATAGAGCCAGAGTTGGGCGGTAAATACCGGTGGCGGTAATTACCGGCGGTAAATACCGTCCAGTAAATAAGATGCGCGTCCGGTAAATATGTAAAAAACAGGAAATACGATTTTAATTCTCTATCTATTAATAATTTTACTTGTTTTGAGCCTCATAACTGAAAATATTGTTCTGAAATAATTAGCAGCACAATACTCATAGTACATGTAGGAACACACAAACAGATTTATAAAATCCTCACTGCATACAAAATTGTACACACGCAAACAAATGGCATTTTGTGCATATGCTAATAGGTATTCATGAATATGGTAATTAGCAACTGGGAACCAAAACCTTCACACAAGTTACTTTTATCGTAAAGTTTAAGATATTTGAATAAAATCAGTGAAAATTTGAACATAATCGGGCAAGGAATAAGGAAGTTAAAGCTTTTTGAAATGACTAGTCACTAGAGGGCGATATTCAATTTGATGACCCGGAAGGGACATAATTTCATTTCATTTGCATGAAGTACCATAAATAATCAATGGAGCGAAATCTCACAATTCTGTGTAGAAGTTTAGTGTTCCAAATTTAGCTCTACCAGATAAGGCAAACCAAATCAAAATCAGTCAAAAAATGAGAGAAAAGAAGCAATTTTTGTTATTTTTGGACTAAATTTGCATAAATTACCATAATTAATTAATGGAGAACAATTTCTGTGGACAAGTTTAGTGTACCAAAGTTAGCTCTACGATATAAAGCAAACCAAATCAAAATCGGTCGAGAAATGAAGGAGAAGAAGCCTTTTTGTGATTTTGAATAAATTTGCATAAATTAGCATAGATAATGAATTTCACGATTCTGTGTAGAAATCTCCCTAAATCCCCCTCCTAGCCTAGCCCTATCATATGAAACAATCAGAATCAAAATCGGTTGAAAATAACGAAGAAGAAGCATTTTGAAAATCTTGATGTTGATGCCACAACAAAGTCCAAGTTTGTTGACCTTAAATGACCTTTGACCTTAACTTAGTGACCTGAAATTCTACTCACATGATTGGGGAGACTTGATCACCCTACAGTCCAAGTTTCATTGATTAAGAACTTATACTTTCAAAATTATATCAAAAATTCAAAAACTTAACCTTAGGTTAAGTTTTTGATGTTAACGCCGCCGTCGCCGTCACCAGAAAAGCGGCGCCTATGTCTCGCTTATTGCTACGCAGGCGAGACAAAAATGTCATTGTGCATATTTTTTTTAAATTAGTAAGCTGATCTACCAAAGATTATATTTGGCTGTTTTGTTTGTGTATTTTGGTTACTGAAATTACTGTTATTATGAAAACCATTGTACATTATCACCATTATATTTTCTGTGGCATCACCATTTCTTAGAAAGTGTTTTTTGCTTTTGTTTTGTTCTTATTCATTTTTTCTTTTGTTGTTCTTTTACCAAAGACTTAAATAGTCAAGTTTTCAAGTTCAATACCAAAGTATTGCTCACTTCACTTCATTGCAAAGAAAAGGCTAACTCCAAGTTCAAGTTGAACAAGTTGAACACTAAAGAGGCTACTCAAGGGGCCTACGTGAGCCCTTGTAGATGTTCAATGGATACAGACTAGACTACCTGTCTACTGCTAGTGCTAGCTAGACACAGTTCCAGGGTAGTTGATGCACATGTGGCTGTGGCAGTTATGTGCTAGAAAGTTCAATTACAGATGTCACTGTAATCAGACACCTTCCGCTTGCTAGCCCTCTCACTGACGGGTCGGCTTGGTGCCACGAGTACAAAATGCCTGCAACATCCACACCGGCCTCACATCCGCATCTCGAATACCAGCAGCGCAGATTCGTTATCAAAACAACATAGCCTTCTGTACACACATACACTTCCATCGCTAGACTTTTACTCGGCCCGCTCAATAAGCAAGAAAAAATCAACGACTGCGACTGGGATGATCTGTAATTCTGTATACTAAAAATTGTAAAAAGACAAAAACAAATGGATAGCTAAACGGAAGATTTTATCGCGAAAAGACAGACAAATGTCCAAGATATGAGAGCAAGAGGTGTCATAGTCATACGTAAACCAAAAGGCTAGCCAATGCGCACTCACTGCCTTTGCTTACGGCACGATGAGAGATGCAGTCCCGCTGTCTCCGGGCCAGAGCACTTGACGAAGCCGAAGTGCATGCAAAGTGTAAACGAAATTGTTCCCGTGCTACACTTCAAACATTACAAAACAAGCTCAAAGATTAAGATAATACTACTTAAACACATCCATTGTCACACGAGTTTTGAAGAAAAACACATGAAAACTGTAAGAATGGAAACACATTTCTTACCTGTCACTTCCTATCTCCTTCGCTTGTTCGCATTAGTTATCAGTGACGTCGACTGTACGCGTACGTATCCGTACGTCGTATATGTACGTCGCGTAAAAATCTTTCTACAAATTTGCAATGCATGCAAAAACAATGCGACTTGAGGCTAGCCTTCCTTCAATCCAGTTCAAAACGAAGTTTTGGGCTTTTACACTTCAAAACAGGGAATCACCTCAATCTCAAAACTATGGAATTTGATTCGTTGTCTGAAGGGAAATCAACACAAAAAACTCATTCTAAGATATCAGCATTAAAAGTAGATTCAGGAAAGCATTTTCTGAAGACCAGTATAGTAAAACAAAAAAGGGAAATAAAGAACTGCAAGATGATAAAGGAGAACATGATTATACTGAGGGTCTGTAATTCATATATCACTAGAGATATTATTTCCAATATTAACATGAACTTTGTTTTAATTTGTCATGTTTCACAATATTTGATGTTATGTTAAATTCGTGTATATGAGTTTGTTAGATGAATCATTATAGGCTTTCATTTGATTGACCATACATGTACCATGCACATCAAGCAATTCCAAGATGATGACATTATTGTGAATAGACGTTACGAGAAAAACACTGCCTTCTCACTTATTGGACTGTTTTTGTGAGTTAAATACAAGGATGGTTTCTGTAACGGTTTTTTAAAGATGTCTTTAGCCTGGCAATAATGATATTTTGTGACTATTTATTATTCTTATTTTCCGTAGAGTCACTGTCAAAATCGATACAGTTTTCATCTTTCCCCCAAAGGTAGTTTAGCCTAATGTAGTGGCACAACAAGATGCATCTGGAATGCAAACTGCATAATTGGTGATAATCATGTGATCATTTTACTTCACAGAATCACATGGTTAATTAGAATAGGGCGCTGGTAAATGCATATACATGTACTTTATTCATGATAATTCATGTTAGCTAATTTTTTATTCCGATATGTAAAAAAGAAGAACTTTTAATTAACAAACACTATCTATATCCATGTTGCATTCCGGAAGCGTCTTTTTGTGCATATCGCTTTGAAAACCTGCCTGTATTGAGATGAGTAGATTGTCATACATGTTTGTTTTGCACTCTACCCTTCGTAATAAACTGATTGCTATTTGGACAATCATGTGTGGAGGTATATTCACATGCCAGTATACACTGTGTTTGCATGGGCTTTGGATAGGCAAGCTGCACATACATGGTAATGTAAAGCATACAGGAATGTTGTATTCTTGTGTTCCAATTATTCATTTGTTGTTAAACATTCCACTCCTGTTTTGTGCAGTGATTCAAACAATTATTGTATCAAAAGGCAATAAAATGATAATCATTTCAACAAATTTTTGATTGAATTTGATTTTTTTTTTATAGATACACCAAAGATTTTTGCATTTTATCGTATTGTAACCATTTTGTTTTTCTTTCGAGAAAGAGGTTGAACATGATTATGTTGAAGTATTTATTTGTTTATAAACATGGTATTATATACACATTTAGATAGAAGTCAGTGATTATTAAATAAAAGAGATAGAGCGGTGTGGTATTGGGTACACTCATTTCCCAATGATTTTTATGATATATAACTAACGTGATAATGTGATGTTATATATGATACATTATATGATACAATAAAATTATTCTTTCTGAACTAAATACTGTGCCTGATCATGAATGTCATTCATGTGTTTTTTACATTGAGAATTAGTATGGCTAGTTTTTCCTTGCCGTGAAGACCCCTTGTTTGCAAATGCACAAAAACTGAGTAAAACAAATGAATTTGCATGCATAAGGGATATTTATTTCATGTTTGCAAAATAAACACTGCTGTCCTTTCTTTTGTATAATTGTATTGTTCTCCCCCCCCCCCCCTGCATATTTGACATACTTTCCCTTGTAAAATCAAAGATTCAAATGCAATTGTGACATGAATCATTTCATGATCAGTTTCTAGACAATTCATTTTTTATAGATCACCCTCATTTTATATATTTTTAAAGTCCAGTACAATAGTATAGTGAACATGATACTTGATTGATCGATTGATTGAATTACAATATTAATGATTTCTTGATTGCAGTAATGAGTGGATTAAATGAATGAAACATAAAATGATTAGATTGAATGAGTGAAACATAAATGATTAGATTGAATGAATGAAACATCAATGATTCCATGATTTTAATCGTGAGTGGATTAAATGAGTGAAACATCAATGATTCCATGATTGAAGTCATGATTAGATTAAATGAGTGAAACATCAATGATTCCATGATTGAAGTCATGATTAGATTAAATCATGGAATCATGATTGAAGTCATGATTAGATTAAATGAGTGAAACATCAATGATTCCATGATTGAAGTCATGATTAGATTAAATCATGGAATCATGATTGAAGTCATGATGAGATTGAATGAGTGAAACATCAATGATTCCATGATTGTAATAGTGAGGGGATTGAATGAGTGAAACATCAATGATTCCATGATTGTAATAGTGAGGGGATTGAATGAGTGAAACATCAATGATTTCAAGGTACAAAACTAATTCATTAACGCAACAAATCAAACACAAAATGCAGACTTTCTTTCATTGTTACAATGTAATTTAATGACAATAACAGCTAAAAGGACACACAGGTGTACAATACAAAGATTTCTGACAGAAGTTATACATCACTCAGACCGTGATAATATAACATATACGAACAACCAACTACAATACCATATTCCGCACAAAAAAAAACTTTTTATTGATATAAACTTCTGTACTAAAAAACAATTTTCAGAAAAAAAGGCTAAAAGTTTGTACGACTCAATTGTTGTTCTTGTATACTGGAACTCAGTAACCCACCCCCCCCCCCCCCTTTTTTTTTGTTGCTGTGGGGGCTTACATATATTTCACTGCCATTTCAGCAGATTAAAGTTTTCGGTTCAATTATTCTGATATAGTTAAAGGTATTACACAGTTTGGGAAATTTTGAAAAATGGGTGGATAGTGATTCTTTACAATTTTGATATATTTGGATGCCCCTGTGGATGTATTAAAAACACCAGAAATTTTAGCCCCTAAAACACTTCTGCTTTCGAGAAAAATTGAATATAAAGATTTACCGGTGCTCCCGGTAAATTTTGATAAATTTCAAATAGCTTCTACGGCCGCATAATGGTAGCTGCGACCATGAAAATCTCAGAGTATGCAGTTGTGGTATATAATTTCCGAATGAGAATAGCTAATCGTTCGATTTTAGTCAATAAACATTGTTTTATAGCTTAATTAATATCTTGACCTTGAGAGGGAGCTATTCAACATAAAATGTTTATTACTTACAATTTCATAACTTTAGAGTCGATTTTGACCGCGACAACGATCACTGAATATTGCAGGATCGTATATGCTTCCAATATGTTCATTTGAACCAAATTCATGACCCCATACCAAAACTTTGTATTACCTTTAAGAAAAAAACCCACCAAAATCAGCCAATCGTAATGGGGTTAGCAAAAATGTATGACCTCCAAACGAAAGTCCTGTTCTTTTGTTATTACCAGTCATGGATGCCAAAAGAAAAAGTAAGAGGTAAGGCAAAGTGTACAGTTTCTGAATTCAGCATGATAAGATCAGTAACTTGATATGCATTTTGCTAAAAAGTCAGGCATTTGTAAAGTAAGTAGTGGGAAGATGACCAATGAGACTGGGAAAATAAACATAACCAGCCTTATTAATTAATAGCAGCCAAAAATTAAAAAAATTAAATTCAGAACGATACTAGAAACAATAAAAAGCCTGTTGCAAGGTTTCTGTCCTCTTATGCATTCCTTTATTATTTTCAGCATAATTTTGACATTTCGAACATTGATAAGAAAATTTAGAAAATAAAAACTTTTAGATGTACACCCATGACATACTTCAATTCAATTCCAATAAAATATGTTAAAAAATACTAAAATCATGACAGAATAACAGTATAAATCCATCAAGAATACAAAATAAGGTAAAATGATCAAACAATAAAGCGACACATCAGATAACAACGAAAGATAATGCATTATTGGAATTGAGTGGCCATAAAAAAACTACGAGGATTTGTCGAGAAGACCACGCTTAATAAAGGTAAAATAAGTTGTATTGGACAATCAAAATAATATAGAAAATTTAACAATTAAAAGAGTACTATAAAGGAATAAATAATTACGAATATATGACAAACTAAAAAAGAACCAACATACTACCGCACAAACACAGGACAAGGCAGTAAATCAAGAATTCAAAATTTCAAACACTTGTGATTAAATACGATTTGAGTTTACTTTTAAAAGTATTCAT